TACCTGGCAGTATTTTTTAGTATTAGTAATCTAAAAATTACTGTAAATGACCATGGTGTTTTGATGTATTGATGATTGAGCTATTGAACATCGTTTTTAATTACAAAACGTGTCTACACTTCCTACCGTTCCTTTCTTTAACAGTTTTGTAAATAAAAGAGAACTTGTTGCTGTGACTATTTTTTCTCTTTTCGTTCTGTTTTATGTACAAGATCATTTTCTTTACCCCAATCTTCAGAAACATATCTAAGTAGATCTGTAAGATTTTCAAATTCTGTTCTACTTTGTGGAGGATCATTCTTTGGTATTCGAGGTAAAATGGATCCAACTTTCATTCGAAATTCTTCTGCATTGGTTGCACCAGTTATTTTCCAGATACTATAGAAAAGCAGTCCACAGCCCCCAATTGCCCATACGGAGCCCCAAAAAAGTGCTCTCATAGCAAGAGATGTTCCTGACTCTGGTAATCCTTTTCCTCCCATAACACCCATATCGAAGGCCTTTGTGTCCTGTTTTTTGGCTGATGCCAGTGCGCTAGAGAAGCCAATGAGAGCAGAAACTCCTGCTATGCTACTTAAGAAAACTGTAGCTGCAATATAAAAATTAAATTACTTTAGAACACACCGAGATGCTTGAAGGTGTTATATAAACTTGTGATCATACAACTATGATCTTATAAACATTTCAGTACTCGAAGTATGTTATATGTTCCATATGATACAACATTTTTCATGAGAGAAAATCATTTCACTTTAATTTATATAAATTTAATTTTACTACGTACTAATTAATATAGAAATACAAATCAATTTAATAAATTGTTTCTCTAACATGCACCTACCATAAAAGTTTTCTTTCTTTTTATCAGTCTTTTTGTCAGGCATTGTTATGATTTTATAATATAATATTAAATATATAATTTAAATATATCTAATAGCTATGATATCAATTACGAATTGTGAAAAATCTTCGAAGTTCCTTCGAAGGAAATTTAGCCGGTTTACAGAATTGTTTAGCGGCTTCATGTGAACCATGGACTACTTGATACATAGATGTATCAGTATTACATACTTAGAAAAGTAACTAGATTTAAATGAAAAAATGTCCCACAGCATTCTGTATGTACATATGTGCCGTGTTTATGAAATAAAAACATTTATTGTGTGTTTAGAAAGATATTGTAATTATTTAATAATGAACATATGTAATTGCATTTAATTACCCATAGTTATTTTCTTTGGTAAAAGGTGAGAATATATATTTTCTTCGACAAGATTTTCTTCATCTAATGATTTACAGTTTATGGCAGATCCTTCAAAGATGCTGTTCAGTATTAAATAGATTTTGTTACAATTAATTTTGAAAGAAATTAGTTTGTTTAACATTTGAAACTAAAAGAAAAGGAATAATGGAAGGTATAACAGAAGTTTTTTAATTGTGTTACGAAAAGTATGATTTATTAAATCTTATTGTCTGTTTGAAGCACTCGATGTCAAAATACTTAATGACAGATCATCCATTTCCTATTACGTAGTTTTATTTCAAAATAAATTCACCGAAATTTTATAACAAATATCGCTATAATATCAATGTTTAAACAATGTTTCGTTTCAGGGGAATTGAAGCACAATATTGCGAAGTTGCTGGAAGAATTACGATTTGTTGTAAAGTCGGAGAAAGAGATTGAAGATATTATTCAGGTGTTAGATTCTATTGTCAATGTTAGCAAAACGTCTATTGGAGGTATTTATTAACTTTTATGTTAAGTAATTATTCATACTTTTAGAAAAAAATATTTTTCTCAGCTTTTTGGTCAATGGCTAATTGATTTGTAGTTTCGTAAATTAATGTTATAGATGTTCAGCATTCAACATGTATTTATTTTTCAGAATCTACTGAATTTACAGTGGACGATGTTTTTCTAACTTTACTGCATCATGAGTCCAAAGAAATCATTGCGAAAACTGCTAAGGCAATCGCAGAGATTGCGAAAAGTGAAAGGGGAAGAGAAAAATGTACCACTACAGATATAGTGAATGCTCTGATAAATTTGTTGAAAGATGATCGCGTTGATGTGTTGACACAAACTTCTAGAGCTTTGGGAAATATTTGTTACGAGAATGGTAGGGATCTTTAATCCCTAATGACTCAAATTTTGTTCATGTATGTAGTTGCAATTAAAGTCATCACTATTATAATCTAATATCATTGGATACCTCTTGTCAATCAAATTTCAATATTGTTTGTAGGTTTTATTTTCCCAAATTTATGAAGTATTCTTAATGATTTTAAATGTTTCTTTTTGTGAACAATTGTTACAGAAAATGGTAAAAAGTTTGTTGAAGATCAAAATGGATTAAAATCAATCTTGGCAGTATTGGAAAAAAGTGTTACATTGAATAATGTAGAAGGAGCACCATTTCTTCGTAATGTTGCAGCAGGTCTTCTTTTAAATTTTCTTATCGACCGGTCATCTGTTAATACAGAGGTAACAAGTTGATTGCAACATAATTCGTTAATGATTCAATTATCACAGATATCCTAGTATGTTGTTGTAAAAAACTGGCATTTTATACTACCAATGTGTTACTGTGTATCAAACATTATTAAGAACAATTTGAGGTCTTAAATTCGAGTATGAGAAAGAAATTGCTTAATAAAATAATGAACACATACTAATACATTTTGTATTATGCATTTATAGTAGTTAGTTAAAATAACATACTAGTGCATTCGTGGTAATTAATATGTTAATCTGTAGGAAAACTTTCTTAGGCATTGCAACAGGAAATTGTACCTATTATATGCAGTCTTTTGGAGATTGATGGTAGTGCAGGTGGAGAATCTGCAATGCACTCACTACTAATATTAGGAATATTGAATGATGCTGATGTAGAGTTTCTAGATGAAAGACTTACAAAAATTCTGGTGGATATTTTGGCAAGTGATACATCATCAGAGCTTTCTGAGATGTGTTTAGAACTTCTTCATGGTCAAGCAGAAAGCGGTATGTTCATTATTAATTGACTGCTTTATATCGATTTCCAGTAGCTTAATGCATACTTAAATTTTAGAGAATGCAAAACTGTTGCTTGCAAAGGCAGGTGTTTGTGAATTGCTGCTGAAGCTATTGGAGAAACATAGTCCATACTGTACAGATGACGAGGCTAGGTCGGTGTTGAAAATTGCTTGCAATCTAATCATCCTTGTGTTAACAGGAGGTACGCATCAATAAATAGATATTCAATTAATTTATCAGTAGTAGTATGAGCATAACTAAAATGCTTCTCTTTTTGAATTAGATCAGAGTATGAACAATTTGTACGATAACAGTGATGGTGTTGTGTATAAAAAATTGGTTGACTGGCTTGATAGTGAAGACAAAGATTTGCAAATCACAGCAGTATTGGCAATGGGAAACTTCGCTCGCACTGACGCCCATTGCAAACTTATGGTTGCTCAAGGCATTCACAGGAGTTTGCTTAAACTTCTGCAGGATAATAACACGGACGCAGCTGACATTAGGTTTCAGCATGCACTACTTAGTGCTTTGCGAAATCTTGTTATTCCTGCAGATAATAAACCTGTAATATTGCAAGATGGATTGATAGACGTTTTATACTCGATGTTACATATTCCATCTTACCCGGTAGTCTTTAAATTATTGGGAACGTTGAGGATCGTTATTGATGGACAATGTAAGATTTAGTTTCATAAATATGAATTCTGTGAATTCTCGTAAATATTACAAGAAAATTTTTATACTAACTTATGTAATAAAGTACAGGATGTTTAACTTAGGTATTGCATTTGTTTTTGGTTACAGATGAAGCTGCCGTAGAGTTGGGTAAAAAAACTGATTTATTGACGAAAACTGTTGAATGGTGCGATGTCGAAGAACATCCTGGGGTGCAAAGTGAAGCGAATCGACTAATTGCTTGGCTAATTAATAACAGCAGGTTGACTGGTTTTTTAACTATCTATGTATGTAGTTGGAGTACATATTTTACTGTAATTGATGTATGAAATGTTGTCTTCAGGGATAAGGAAATTACGGTTTTGATGGTAGAACATGGCACGGTACCCCATTTAGTTAAGATGTTAACGTCGCAGCATGTTTTAATGCAAAATGAAGCTCTAATTAGTTTAATGATACTGACAACGAGTTGTTTATCACAATGCGAGCAACTTCTTCTGGAGGCTGACATAGTGGACAAACTTTGCAGATTTTTTGAGGTCGCAAAAAGTCTGGAGAAACCAATTATGCACAATGCTGTGTCCCTATTGGATAATATTGTTAACTCAGGTATTATGATACATTCATCTTTTTATTTTAAAAGATGTGACGTGTCAAGATGAAATTTCGTTTCAAAATTTAATTTACGTTTCAGAAACATTGAGAGAAAATATTGCAAAAAGTAATTTAAAATCGTTGTGTCAAAATATATTGGATAGCGATGGAGAATCGACCATCGGAAATAAAATGAAAAGAATTTGCGAAAAGCTCAATTGAGTAAACGGATATATAAACATGTACTTATTACTATTCTTTGAGGAGATACAAGTACCCGAATCGCAAATCTTTCTTCCTGGTTGAAAATAAGTCTTCGTGTTTCAATGTGACAAACATACATCTGTCTCATATCAGAAGCAATATTTTTGTAAAATCATCATTATGAGCAACAACAACAACAAAAAGTAACGTTGACGTTACTTGAGCATTTTTTAAATTAAAGTCAGCATTCAGATTTGTTTGTTCTGCCGTTTCATTACATGGTTCTAATTAGATCACAGATGTTTATGCACGTGTACAGAAAGTATGCAAAAAATACGCAAGGAGTATGTATTTATGCAAAGTAAAATACATGTCGCGGAAATCCTCAAGAGACGAAAAATGAATTTTTGTCCAAGTCCTGTTTTCGTGACTGTATTCTATAAAAAATATACATATACATAAACATCGGTTGTCTGTTTATAAGTAATTAGTTACCGAATCATTACAATCACATGTGAATGTAATTATATATGTACTAAATGGTAAATTTTCCACGATTTAACATAAATGAAATTTGTCAATTGATTATGGAAAAAGGTACTAAATATTCGTGGGCTAACGTAAGTTCTTAAAAAAAAAAGAAAAAAAAATATGTGTGTACTTTTAGGAGACCGACCAAATTGTAACATTCGTGCGACCAATTGTGAGATTAATATTATAATAAATCTATATACGATAACTTCCGGCGAACGAACAATTTTTTATTTAGTTTATTAATTTCAACAAATAGGATTGTTTTATAGCATTTTTATAGATAGAAGATATTTGTACAGTTACTTTCTACGGAATTATCATTATTCTAATTATTCGATCATTGGTCAATCAAATCAAAAATAACATCACAGTCTAAACAAAAGAAGTGCATGAAGTGTAACTTTTAATTACGTGAAAATTTGAAATAACATTTTATGTATTTTTTAATGTAAAATGAGCAAAAATTTTATGAGCATGAATATAACAAATCGGTGAGTATCATATGTTCTTTTGAAGTATTACTCGTAATTTAATTATTTAATTAGTACTTAAGATTAAAAAGAATTATCTTAAGAAATCGCAATTGATTTAATCGATTGATAAAATTAATAGTCAATTATTAACAGTAAATATTAATCCTTGATAATTAGTCATTGTTTAAATAGATTGATTCAATAACTGATAATGAAATACTGCAACCATTTATTGCATTAAATATTGTTCAACTCTGGGAAGCTATAAATATTGAGGATGAAACAATAGTGAACAGATATCTTCAAATTTTTATCTCGATATTTTGAGAACTGTCTGAGCAATCACCCAAATACTAATGTATACTTCCCAGATCGCATTCTGAAATCAAAGAGTAAAACAGAATTGGTTGTTTGTGATGCAAATATTATTTAATTTGACGTGGAACCGACTTAGGCATTAATGATTTCAACTATGTGGTACAAATTTAGTCCACAGAAGAGAAAATGGCGCTCCGATCGACTGGGCTGCCACGTAATGTTGTGTGTCCCCTCGACGAGGTACGTCTCTCCAACAATTAACGGCGAATTACACCGTAAAAAGTGCAATGCACGTCACTTGGTGCAGTGAAATCTAAACTTTTGTTTCTTCTTGCCGTGATAACCTCGTCGAGAAGGTAAGAAATGTCAATGATCACGGAGAGATTCGACGACAAAACTTAGTGTGCAAAGCACCCCAACATCGACGTGACGTTTTAACCTTTCGCTCGTTTCCCCTTGCCTTAATCTTTCAAAATTATATTGTCCATACTCTCTCCTCTTCTCAGCGAATTCTGGACTATGAATTGCAGATTTTTCGAATTTCCATCTCCCGCGTATCTCTGGCTAACTAACAATCATCATTTTGCCTCACGATCACGAACTTGCTTCATGTCATCGTTATTTTATTTGATTATATTTAATGGTTCTGTTATTTTGTTTTTGTCATTTCTGATTGCATTGTCTCGTTGTTGCTCTTAATCAAGTTTACTTTTGTACTGCGCTGTTAATTTAATCTGTTGTATCCTACTTTATTTTTTTCGCGAAACTTAATTGAAACTTGTGGAGCCTTTCTCATACATGTTGTTAATTCATTTTTGATTGAATTAATAAATCCATACGTTTACTTCAATTTCTCTACCGTTTTATGACCTTACACTTTTTAATTATTCAGCAATTTCTTCATCCTATCTTGATATCTTAACTTCTTTTAACCTTGACATGTAACAATTTATTTTATCTTTGTATAATTTTGTTCATACCAATATATTATTACTGTATCGTAAAAAGTTTTAATGATTCTCGAATGTTGGTGATAAAATTGATACATGTAAAGATATGATCAAATCAAACAGTTACACACCATTTTATCTAACTAGTATTTGCTGAGTTATCTAATTATAGGTGAATAGTAAAGAAAATGAAATACGTATGCATACTTCCCATTCGCATGATATTAAGTAGGTAGTATCAAATTATGTTATAAATTATAATGGATCAGTTATAAATATTTATATAAATTTTGACATATTTCTGTAGTTTAATAAAAATGTGTATCTATTGAAATTTATTTTACTAAAGCTATGTGTTTATCTAAACAGGTTTTGTTTTTCCAATATTAAAGCAGTTTAATTGTATTTTTATTTGTGTAACAAAATAATATTGTCTTTTTAATATGTTTAGCGACGTTTGGAAATCAGCAACATGTCCCAACCAACAGACTACCAATATCGTACATATGGCAGTGACAGTAACCTGAAGAGTGCTCCCCCACAGATGGTAAATGGCCAGGCAAGCGCAACACACCATAATGGCATGCAATCCACAAATTATAATTTCACAGGTATGTTTTGAAATAAATAATCTATATCTTATTATTTTTCGCGACATATACAGTGCAATATCCAACTTCCGTACTAAATTATGCTTGTAAATGGCTATAATGTCACCACCAATTATACTAATTAAATATTTTATTTTCAGGTGTTCCATCTTCACAATCATCACGAGATCCATCTAGAGAAACATCAAGAGATCCATCACCAACACCGTACCTTTACAATCAATACAGATCACCGTTACCTCGTCCACAAATGTCCCCCTTAATCAATGGCCAACAAAATTCAATGAATCCTGTAATGCCACCACCAGTAAGGCTACCACAGAGTCAACAACAACCACCAATGTATAATGTTCAGAATCAATTTCAAGTGCCTGCGACGCAGCATCCGCCGCCTCCAAGAGATGATGTAGTAAATTCGCAAATGGAACCACCGAAACCACCAATTGCTGGATTCGATCAGAATTTACCGCCGAATCCGGCGTTAGAAGCGAAACCTTACAAAGTTGATAGTCAAGATAATATGGTACAAGGAGCACAGGTCTATTCACAAGAGCAAAACAAGTTTCCAAATCCTATGCAATCATTCAGAGCCCCATCAAAGCCCCCTTATCAACAAAATTTCGGAGGACAAAGGATGTACGCAAAGAATGCACATGTTATGCAACATGCTGCCACAGTACCAAATACAATGTCTTATGGATCGGTTGGAAGTGGACCTCAGATACAAGCAAAGCCTCCTCTACAAACTACGGCAGCTGGATATCCTCTTCCACAGCGGACGGTATAAACATTCTTTATACTACTATCATAATGTGCTGTTCAGATACAATTCTATAAGAAAAAAGTTGTGTTAATGAAAAGTATTTTATTTATCAGTAAAATGAACAGCAACTAACGATAACTTCGTACCGTTTATTAGATAGTTTGAGTATGATGAATCATTAAGATGTCGAGAGTATTGTTATAATTTGTTCTCACAGAAATCATTTATGAATCGATTATATTGTTTGTATATTAACTGCTTAGAATTTGCTTAGGATAAATAAGTGGAACTTTTATTCCAGTATCCAATTCAACAACCAAATACAATGACCATGCAGCTTGATCCAATGAGTAAACAATATCCACAACAATATCCCGACCAAATGAATCAGTTGAATAACCAAATGAATATGATGTCTGTTGCACAAGCTGGTTATAATAAACTATGGGTTGGTAAAATTGAATTGCATTAATGTTAATTAACATATTAGGATATGAAATTTTTTTCGTAAAGTAATATTTACGTTGTTTGTCTTTTAGGGAATGGAGAATATCGATCTTCTGCAGTGCAGAAATGTTTTGCCTGCAGAAAAAGTAGATCCACCAAAAATTAAGCTTCACCAAGAATATCTAGAGAGTATTAATTGTAGTCCAGAGTAAGTGACTTTCTCTAAAAGTAGCTCTATTACGCTGATAAAGTAGTTCAGAAAAATACATGCACTTATGTAACAAATAATGATATTTTTCACTATCATATTTCATTATTTCTTAGTATTTTTCGCTGTACACTCACCAAGATACCAGAATCCAATGGATTACTACAGAAATCTAGGTTGCCTCTGGGAGTTTTAATTCATCCGTTTAAAGATTTAAATGTATGTGCAGATATTCAATTTTAACATTTTCATACCTTCATTGATATAAATTAATCTACTATTTTTTTGAACTTCAGCATCTACCAGTAATACAGTGCAGCACGATCGTGCGATGTCGTGCCTGTAGAACCTATATCAATCCATTTGTATACTTCAGTGACTCAAAGAGATGGAAGTGCTGTCTCTGCTTCAGAATAAACGAATGTAACTATAAATCCATGAAATTATCGCTAATATATTGTATACTACATTATAATGGCTTTCTAATAAATTTAATTGTATGTAAATCAGGGATTGAAAAGGTTCCGAAAATAACTGTTTCAAACTGTTATATATCGGTCTGACTGAAACAGTTATGGAGAATCGAAAAAGTTTCATGTCAGTTATGAGGTATATTGGTTCTGACTTATCTCGGTTTCGGTTCTTGAAAACCGATATTATATCGGTTCTATAACTGTTATTTTTCGGTTCTGGATTCAGTTATACCTACACGTATTGGCAAAATTCAATGTAGTGTAAGAGACTGTATATCCTTTTTCTGTGTGGTAGTAGTAGTCTCAGCTTGTCTATAATACAAAGTATTTTAGAATTCATACTTTAATCCCTAAAGGAAATACAATGTATTTTGTACGTGAAATGAAATTAGAATTGAAATTCATAACCGAAACTTAAAACCGAAAGATAACAGATATAGAACCGATATAATAACGATTCTGAATCGAAACCGATATATCTTATAACAGTTATGNCAACCAAATACAATGACCATGCAGCTTGATCCAATGAGTAAACAATATCCACAACAATATCCCGACCAAATGAATCAGTTGAATAACCAAATGAATATGATGTCTGTTGCACAAGCTGGTTATAATAAACTATGGGTTGGTAAAATTGAATTGCATTAATGTTAATTAACATATTAGGATATGAAATTTTTTTCGTAAAGTAATATTTACGTTGTTTGTCTTTTAGGGAATGGAGAATATCGATCTTCTGCAGTGCAGAAATGTTTTGCCTGCAGAAAAAGTAGATCCACCAAAAATTAAGCTTCACCAAGAATATCTAGAGAGTATTAATTGTAGTCCAGAGTAAGTGACTTTCTCTAAAAGTAGCTCTATTACGCTGATAAAGTAGTTCAGAAAAATACATGCACTTATGTAACAAATAATGATATTTTTCACTATCATATTTCATTATTTCTTAGTATTTTTCGCTGTACACTCACCAAGATACCAGAATCCAATGGATTACTACAGAAATCTAGGTTGCCTCTGGGAGTTTTAATTCATCCGTTTAAAGATTTAAATGTATGTGCAGATATTCAATTTTAACATTTTCATACCTTCATTGATATAAATTAATCTACTATTTTTTTGAACTTCAGCATCTACCAGTAATACAGTGCAGCACGATCGTGCGATGTCGTGCCTGTAGAACCTATATCAATCCATTTGTATACTTCAGTGACTCAAAGAGATGGAAGTGCTGTCTCTGCTTCAGAATAAACGAATGTAACTATAAATCCATGAAATTATCGCTAATATATTGTATACTACATTATAATGGCTTTCTAATAAATTTAATTGTATGTAAATCAGGGATTGAAAAGGTTCCGAAAATAACTGTTTCAAACTGTTATATATCGGTCTGACTGAAACAGTTATGGAGAATCGAAAAAGTTTCATGTCAGTTATGAGGTATATTGGTTCTGACTTATCTCGGTTTCGGTTCTTGAAAACCGATATTATATCGGTTCTATAACTGTTATTTTTCGGTTCTGGATTCAGTTATACCTACACGTATTGGCAAAATTCAATGTAGTGTAAGAGACTGTATATCCTTTTTCTGTGTGGTAGTAGTAGTCTCAGCTTGTCTATAATACAAAGTATTTTAGAATTCATACTTTAATCCCTAAAGGAAATACAATGTATTTTGTACGTGAAATGAAATTAGAATTGAAATTCATAACCGAAACTTAAAACCGAAAGATAACAGATATAGAACCGATATAATAACGATTCTGAATCGAAACCGATATATCTTATAACAGTTATGAGAAAATTTCGGTTCTTCATAACTGTTTCAAGAACCGAAACCGATATTATAACTGTTTTCAACCTCTGATATAAATTGTATTTTCAGTACCAGAAGAATTTCAGTTTGATCCTGTTACAAATACCTATGGTGATCCGTCGAGACGACCAGAAGTGAAAACGAGCACAATCGAATTTATTGCGCCTAGCGAATACATGGTGGGATATTTTTTTATTTTAGTAATGGTTGCTATCAAGATGGTGGAGTAATTAAAGTAATGAACTTGTTACAGCTCCGCCCACCTCAGCCAGCTGTATATCTGTTTGTTTTGGACGTTTCGAGGTTGGCAGTGGAAAGTGGTTACTTGAATATAGTGTGCAATGCAATATCAGAAGAATTGTCAAGATTGCCAGGAGATGGTAGAACACAGATCGGATTTTTGGCAGTGGACTCTGCAATTCATTTCTTCAGCATACCTGACAACGTATCACAGCCTCAAGAAATGATTATGCTAGATATAGATGGTAATAAAGAAATGTACACAAATAACTCATACTGATACATTCGACAATGTTTAGCAACTGATAAGATATCAAACATTTCTGTTGAATTTAACAACAAAAAATTATTGTGCAGATGTTTTCCTGCCATGTCCAGAAAATTTAATAGTCAATTTAAAGGAACGCGAGGAATTAATCAGGGATCTCTTGGCTCAGTTACCGACCAAATTCCAAGGAACACACGACACGAACAGTGCTTTGGGCGCGGCATTGCAAGCTGCGTATAAACTTATGGTACGCATAATAAAAACAAGCTATGAATATTTATAACTAGCAGTAGAATATGTTGAATTTAACCATCAACCGAATTTTAGTCATCAACCGGTGGACGCGTGACCGTCTTCCAAACTTGTTTGCCAAACGTGGGTCCTGGACTATTACAAGCCAGAGAGGATCCTAACAGCAGAGCAAACAAGGACGTACCACACTTGAATCCAGCTACAGACTTCTACAAGAGATTAGCATTGGACTGTAGTGGACAGCAGATAGCAGTCGACCTATTCCTATTAAATAGCCAATATTGTGATTTAGCTACACTTTGTATGCATATATTTAATTTTATTTACAGCGGATTTTCATGCATTCAAAAAACAATTTTTATTTTACTTTCGTTCAGCAGAAATCTTCTGAAAATAGGAATGTGCATAAAGATCTGCAGTCTATTTATAGCGGATTTTACAAGAGCGGTATCACGAAGAAATATTTTCTGTTCTAGCTGGTATGTGTAAATTTTCTGGGGGTTGCATATACCACCTTCCGTTGTTCCGAGGTTCGAAACCACAGAATGCAGAAACTCTTGACAGAATACTCAGACGCTATCTCACGAGAAAAATTGGCTTCGAGGCGGTAATGAGAATACGATGCACTCGCGGCTTGAGCATTCACACTTTCCATGGAAATTTCTTCGTGAGATCTACGGATCTACTTAGTTTGCCTAATGTAAATCCAGACGCTGGTTTTGGAATGCAAATCTCCATCGAGGAGAATCTTTCGGACGTCCAGAGTGTATGTTTCCAGGCAGCTTTGCTTTACACGTCGAGTAAAGGTACTTATTCTAAATCAAACTTGCCGAAATTAATGTTTTCAAAAATGAGACATCGATGGACAAATTGCCTTTCAGGTGAAAGAAGAATCAGGGTACACACATTGAGTTTGCCAGTCGCTACTAATTTATCAGATGTTCTCCATTCCGCTGATCAACAGTGCATAGTAGGCCTACTTTCTAAAATGGGTAAGACTTCTTTTTATCGTGAAATGTAATCAATGAACGGTCTTTTGATCGTATCGTCCCGGATTTATAATGTGTTTGGTTCAGCGTACACTTTAAACTAACTTTTTATTAATATTTTCACAGCTGTGGACAGATCTCAGCAGTCCTCTCTATCAGACGCGAGAGACGCTTTGATAAACGTGGCCATAGACGTGCTGTCAGCTTACAAAGTGTCTCAACCAGCCATGACTGGTGGTCTTATGGTTCCAGGAAGCTTGAAACTACTGCCTCTTTATATTATTGCTCTGCTCAAATGTGTAAGTGTTCATCACAAGTGGTAACGTTATCTGATGCGTTATGATTCGATATTATCTGTTTTCTAGATTGCCTTCAGGTCAGGAATGAGTACAAGACTCGATGACCGAGTGTTCGCAATGTGTCAGTTGAAGACTTTACCGTTGTTCCAATTGATCCAGATGATCTATCCGGATCTATACGCGGTACACGCGCTGGAGGATCGAAACGCGAAAGATATCGACGGAAAACTTTGTCCCCAACCAGCTAGGCTGCATCTTTCTGCTGAAAAGATACATTCAAGGGGCGCTTTTCTCATGGACGCAGGTGACCGGATATTCATTCTGATCGGCAAGAACATTCACCCTACGTTTTGCTGCAATGTACTTGGGGTCACTGGTTTTGCTTCGATACCGGATGAAATTGTGAGTGGCTAAACAAACTATAGCTTATTCATGACGAAACATTGTAACTTTCCCCTAAAAAGGGAGACTATTTCTTGAACACGTGTTGCGTTGCGAAAAATAAATAAATAAAATATTTATTTCAGTATGAGTTACCAGAGATCGACACACCAGAAAACGAATTGTTGCGTAATTTTGTATTTAGCTTGCAAGAGGAGAAACCTTATCCTGTTTCTGTCCAAATTATTCGGTAAGTTTCATCAGTCTCCATAGTTGAATTTAAAATTTTATTCAATGAGTTGTAATTATTCACGTGTTAGGGGAGGAACGAAGAAGCATTCACCTATTAATCTATGAATGATCGCTAATATTATTTTCCGTTTTCAGAGACGACAGCCCTTTCCGGACGCTCTTTATTGAACGATTAGTCGAGGACCGCTTTGAGTCCGCATTGAGTTACTACGAATTTGTGCAACATCTCAAGACTCAAGTGAAATAATGATAAATGAGCTCGGGTTTTGGCTGAGAAACAGAAAAATGAAACTTTAACGTGTAAAAGCCATTGTTGATTACAGTGAAAGTGTTTAGCAATCGTGAACTGTGTTAAAGAATCTGAACTTCATGAAATGATTGTTTAATCGGTTGATTAGAATGGAACACTTAGGAATATAAAACCCATTATATAAATATACAATATATATATGTATATACGTGTGTATATACATATACATATACATGCAAATACAAGGTTTCCTATTCTAATCTTCTACCGCTGTTATTTCCCAAATTACACGTTATTCGTATAATGTCTTTAATAAAACTCACTGGGTTCTAAGAGGTACCTGCTATAATTTGGATCTCTGTTTAAGACAAGTAGATCATTCCGATACGAAGTTATTGACCCTCGACATCTTCTAATGTCTCTCAAGGTCGATTAGAATAATTTAAGTCATGCAATTTACATGCAATGTAAGTTTGATTTAAAAGATACTCTTCTAATAACGAACAATTTGGAAGATAAATGCGTGAAAAGATTAAAACGGAACACTCTGTATAAAAGGTATACACACATTTATATGTATATGTTCATATACATGTATGTATACCGATGGATATATACATGTATACATTTATGTACGTATACGTATGTAGGAATGAATGTTATTATTGTTTTAAGAGGTGTTGAAGCATTTAAATATAATTTAATTGTAATTATTATTATTTTAACATCACAATGATTACTATAACGATTATTGTTACCTTGATTAGTTGCAGTACTTTTTCTAGGCAGTCCGGTCTCTTTTTCTGTAAATGCTTTTCTATTCTATAAATTAAATTGTCAATCGAATTTTGTACGGCATATGGAATTTTCTCGTATTAGTGTTTTCAAATTCAAAGGATTTCTGCACCGGGGGAGGCATTTTATGAAACTGTTGTAAACCCGTCTTTTTTTGTTTAAATTAATTATTTTATACATAATCTGTACGTTTTAAGTGTAATATACTTTTTCGATATAACTAGGTAGCCAATTTTGTTTTTTTTTTCGACTTGAAAATACTTTTGTAAATAATTGATTCTATTTTTCTGTGTCTGGGACAAACGATTTTAAAATAAATTGAAACTTTAACGTATCGGCCTGATAATATGGAGCAATACATATATGTATATACATACAGAGTATTTCATCAGCTATGGTGCAATGGGAAAACAAGAAATTCCAACACGCAAAATAAGATGCATGTTGATGAATTAATGATGTTTTTGACCTCATTTTCATTCATTCGTTTCAATTCCTCTCATGAAACAATCACACACAGATTAATGCAATAGCTACAGCGATAAGATAAACATATATTAGTCTTAGTGACAAATTTAGAATATCAAACATCGTCTTAATTTTTTGCAAAAATCTGATATCCTTTAAATACTCGTCCCTTTCATTAAGCATTTTGTATACATGCTATCTGCAGAATTTTTCCTCTTAAGTGTGGTATGGAAATATATATATATTATTTTCTCAACAATCGTACGAAGAAATTACTTACTGATGGAATAATCCCTGTATTGTCACTTGTCACTAACATTTAGTATAATTAGTATGTTATATTAATATGCAGGGTGCCTTTTAGAATGTAGAATGGAATTCACAGACACTAATGGAGAATCAATCAATTTAATTAAAATTATAGATTTTAAGTTCGTATTCGAGAAATATACATTAGACGCATCAGTAAGTTTCTTTATTTTCACTTTTATGAAGACTATTGATAGAACAGTTATACTTGCTTATCATTTTTTTGTAAGACACGCTGTGTATGTATGTATGTATGTGGGTACGTACGTATGTATACATGTGTGTATATTGTTGATGTATATATGTATATGTATAGACTGGTCTCGAATTAACAAAACATCCAAGATATTTACAAAGAATAATTTTTTTTATGAATACGATATGTAGAAATGTACAAATATAGGGATTTTACATGAACATACAGAGCACATGAAACGAATAGATAGAGAAATTGGATAAGTAATATCAGAAAACAAACATCAAGAGGTACACAAATATAGAATGTTGTTTTTATTTTTCTTACAAAATTGATTAAATGTTTCATGCTACTCATTGCTGTGTATATTACTCTTTTAAACATTATACATCAACTGATATGCAACATTTTGTCTGAAATGTCTAGATCAGAATTAAGAACAAAAATATTTTGGCTGTGCTCTACTGAAATAAGCAAAAGGTTCAAAGTTTAGAAATTCTTTGATTGCTTCTAAAAAAGTAAATTGATTATCATCTGTAAATTTCTCAACGCTTTTGCATAGTTTCAGACTCCTCATTATCTTTTCACATGAACATACAGAACACAATAAACTATACGATCGCGCTTAAATGCAGATCGTGTACGACCACAAAATAGTGTCTTCAAAGACAAAATCTATAATCTACATACGTTGTTGGATATATATGTATATGTATATGTATATGTATGTGTATATATATATAATATAATATATGTATATATATATATATATATATATATATATATATATATATGTGTGTGTGTATATGCATATGAATATATTATACCTCGTTAATTCGAGATAGGTCTGTGCACGGAAAACTGAGAATTTATAAAACTCCATGTTTCAAACCACCAATGCTGCCAAAACGAAGAATCACTCGAAGCAGACATTTTTTCGTAGATGCGAACAAATCGTTATGAAAGGAGACCAGGGATAGTTGGATGATGTAAATCGTTCACCACTTTGAACCGCACTATGAACAGTGCAAAAATAAAACACTTAATGCCGCAACAATGTTTTCTCGATTTTTCTTCATCGTGGCGTTTTATTTTGATAATTCTCCTCTGTCAAGCTGTAACTTCATTCTCTTAACAACTCGCAGTAATAAACTATCCACCTTATTCTTCTAATAAACTGTTAACAGATTCGGCACTAGTTCAAATTCAAAATGATTTCCCGTTCGTCCTTTCTTCCAAGATGTTGCTGAGCAGTGGAACGCGCGAACGAGAATATTTGAAAATAAGTACTCATTAATATGATTATCTATCAATACCAATTAACAATTCGCCTCATTCTTCTAATAAATTGGTAATAAGTAATAGTTCTTGTGCTACTTTAAATTCAAAATCATTTCCCGCTCGTTGTTTGTTTGAAGGTGGCGCTGAGTAGAAGAACAAGAGTGCTTAAAAGTAAACGTGAAAGGTAATAAAAAGTATTACTTATTCTTATGTTCGATACTAAAAGTAGTTCTATTAAATAACATCTAAAAAAACTGAATAACGATTAACCGTAAAATAAAAGCTGAATCGATGTAAATTATTATTGACAGGTTGAGTACCGTGGGAGCCACCGAATATATGTATACTAAACGAATGCCACTGATCAAGTAGATTAAATGATTAAGTCAAGTAACTTATTGACTGACGCCGATGAAGTAAGATTTCTATGAAGAGCACAAAAGTCGGGAAGCACTCGCGATATATTATTCGCGCAGCGGTTCAATTTCAGTTTCGAAGTTCGATTCAATTTGTGTCAAGAAAATGTTCAGAACCTATAACTCGTGTACACTGTGATATCGAAATTCGTCGGAATGTTATCTGTCAAAATACACACTTGGTAATGTAGGACAACAACGAGGATTGCATCTACCCCCTCGAAGATGGCGCCAGGCGAGACTGTGCCCAGGTGAGTCGGCGTACGGCGCATGCGCGCGACCCATCGCCTCGCTTGAGCCACGCTCGGCCCTTGGCGTCAGTAGTGGTGCGGCGCCTGTGGTGAGGGTTGGTGTTTTTCATCGCAGCCGAGACAACAGACCGGTGAGCGCCTTTTCATCATTCACATTGCTATAACTATGAATTCATGATCAACCATTATTTTCCATATAATCGCGCAGGACGAAGCACGCCGGCAAATGACAGTTTGAATTTCTCGAGTTTCTCGCGCGCCGATGTCATCCTTTATTATCGAGTTTAATTCAAGATCGCCTGTTTCACCGTACGTGCGTCTAATCCTGCGTGTGTGTGGACTTTTTTTCATAGTCCCTTAGCTCGATAAACATATCTCCCCTACCCCTAGCCCTCGCCATTTTGGCTCGTCCTTACCGATCGATAGGAAGAAGATAATTGGAAATATTACCGACGCGGCCGATCGTTTCTCTCAGCCTGACGAATTAAAAAAAGAACTAATTATTATCGCTTATCGATGGACAGGTGGCGCTCCGCAACCCTCTTTAGGGAGTGCTCTCTGTTGTCCCGTGCTCCTTTTTCTTCCTCCTCCTATTCTCCCTTTCTTTCGCGTGTCTTCTCGCCCCGCTTTTGTTCAACCATCTTAACTCTATTTACATTTTAAATGGGACCACCAACGTCCCGATCATCGTCGATTTGTAGTCTCGCTGCACTTGTTTGCGCGGGATCAATCGACAGGTTAAACGACATGCAGGAACAATATTTGAAAAGATACGAGGCATATCCCGGCGAAATAGATCGGGCTCGTTTAAGGTAGAAACGGATTCGTTGGTTCTGGTAAGATGATTTTCAAATCAGCCATTTTTGAAAAGCGATATCCTCGTACGAATGTAACACGTTTACTCTATGTTTGTTCTTTAGTTGGACGACCGCGGATTTTATGCATTGCCGACGAGAATTAAAATAATATAAATATAATATAATATATAATAATTAATAATTAATTAATAATAAATATATAATAATATATAATATAATATAAAAAATCAAATACAAAACTGTGAAGACATTAGGCAATTTTGCGGATGTCTTTGTATTATTAAAATGGCTACAAGAGAAATGAGATATTAATCGGACTTACGTTTCTTGCAAATTAACTTGGACAATGTTTTTATTATTTCGCATGAAAATCGGCAGTCTATTTAATTAGCTTCGCTGCAGTAATTCCGTGACGCAGAATAAGTTTTTGTTTCGCGTTTCTATATAAAATATGCCACACGTATATTTTCACATGCGGCTGTATTACCTCCGATATGATCTACACAGTAGTTACTGTAATGAATATGCAAGGCGTTTCATTCCACGTGACCATGTATTTATATTTCCGTACCGCTCGCTTCGTATGGACTTGTTGTAAAATGCATTCCAGATAATTGTTAAAGGGTCGCGACATTATTATTTGCAACATAGAGAAACGTAATTCTTTCGAGAAGAATAGTTTCGTAAATATTAGAAATAATATAATATATTATATATAATATATTCATATAATATATTATAAATAAATATATAATATAATATAATATATAATATAATATAAATATAATGTAAATATAATATAATATATTCATGTCTATGAGTTCGTGCAATTCGATTGATTAGACGCAATTCACTACGCGATGATGTTGCTATGTGGTAACAACAATCACAAGCAAAAGCGAAAAAATTGCTTGGTGGGTTGGGGTGTCATAGGTGTTGGGTTTCCGACGTATACCACTAGAGGGCAATTGACATAAACCGCAACTCGCTGATATTATTTACATAGGATTCTTACATATATAGGGATCAGTTGCAGCTATGATGGAATTTCCCGAACCGTGGGCAAAATCTCGGATGAAATGACATCTTTTGCCGCGGAAACGTTCCTTTACCGGTATTTCCGTAGTCAATCTCCAGTATTACAATCATGTTTCCGTTTTACCGTTTTCTGACTCGGGCTGGGAAACGTAAAAAAATGGACACTGCTTGCCGTTATTACTGTATCTTGTATATACCGTTGCCATTTTTACAAGTCCACAGAACACACTCCGAAATGATGAAAATCTTCTCAGTCTATGGAATGATTAATTTTATAAGTACTGGTAAATTTAATTTAATAAATGATACAGTTTTGGTTTATATTATTTGTTTCGAATTGAATTAAATGGAAACGGTAGAATTTTAAATATAATTATCTTACATGAAATGGAATGAACAAAAATGAAAATGGTAAATTTTTAATTGTAATTATATCAAATGAAACGAAAACGAAAATAGCAAGTTTGAAAATACAATTGTTTTTAATTAAATTAAACAAACAAATTTTGAAATATGATTATTTCAAAGTAGTAAAAAGGATTGATATGAGTTTTAATTAAACTAATTGGATAATCAAAATATTGGATTGGAATGTAGGTTAATATCGTACACGTTATATGTAAGTACTTGGGAAGCACGGTAAATGAAAAATTTGTGGAAAGGCTGGGGACGGCAAGCTTTTGCAGATCTTGTTTAATTGGATAAGTATTTTCGAGGTAACGTTTCGAGACAGGATTAAATTATAAAACCAAGTCGCACTAAAATTAATTAGCATTTACCTGGTTTATTATAAATTTGGAAGAAAAGAGAGGGAACGTGCAACGCAACTCTCTCGCTACATTAAATATTTCCCCGAGGTGAGCTCACACGTATATTTTCCTCGTGTTACATCTTTTAATTCGGTTCCGCTATCTGTGCCGTACGTTTTCATGCGATTTGTTTACGGTGTTACTAGATACGCGGAGAGTTTCAGGTTTCACTAGGCAGCGTTCATGGAGTATTTTTACGTACGCTTTATAACACGTTACGCGATTCCTCTCTTATCTCTCGTTTTCGAATTCGGAGTTCTTTTCCTCCTTTTTTCTTTATCATTTACAAAACGATTCTAAAGAATTTTACACGTTCGCGCGTATCAATGCAATGGAAAGTAGAAAATAATTTCCATTGCTAATAATAATGGGAAAAGTGGCTGCAGCACATTTTGGCAGAATATCTCTTCGGATTAATGTTTTAATGAATAACTAATGGAGCAGCGATCAATTAATTGGTTACCGCTCGTGTTTTCATTTAACGCGACCTACGCTGTTGTACGGATTTTAAATAGATTCCGCTCCGCGTTTAGTATAGTTCCACGGTATCCGCTTCTATAGTTATCCATTTTATTTACTGTTGATCTGCATTATTTACTCTCCCACCTATTTCTAACCGAGCCTCAGCTGTTGTTGCTATCGGCATTATTATTTTTAGGCCTTCCTAGATCCTGTTGATCGCTATAAATATTTACTCAAGTAAGCTAAAACGCGATTCTATGCAACGGGTGTATTAAAAGTTTCAACATTTAAGAATTTAATAATAATTTTATCAATTTTATCAATATTAATTCAATATTCAATATTCAATATTCAATATTAATTCTATTAATTTTATCAATTCTATCAATTCTATCAATTCTATCAATTCTATCAATTCTATCAATTTTATCAATTTTATCAATTTCATCAATTCCATAAATTTGATCAATTTCATCAATTTTATTAATTTCATTGATTTTATTAATTTTATTTTTCGTTTGCTTTGAAAAGTTTTACGCAAATCATTGTTCGGGCTGGGAAAAACGTTGTTTGTCTTTCCAACGTAAACAATGATCGTGTTCCAAACTGTTTATTTGATCGACCAATAGCAAATAAACCTCTCAGTGTACTTAGGAAGCTTATGCTCTCCAAACAGATGCACGAATTTTATGGACCCACATGCTGGGCCACTTAAACTGTGTGCTGGGTCAGAAAAATTATCACCAGTCTGCTAATTCTCATGCAAATTTTGTAAACAAATTCTGACCGAGGACAGTTGGGCTGTAATTTATTCGAGCGGAATATCACATATTTGTTGTGGCAGTTTGCATAAAAATTGTTGAAAAATTCGTTGTTCCTATCGTACAAATATTTGAACAGTGTCGATTTCGAAAAGTAATGTACACTGTCGTTTGAAGTTAAATAATCATTTATTATCAATTAATTTTTTTAATCAATTTATTTATCAGTAATTATCGAAAAACACTTGCCAAAATTAATGTTCGTGTCGACGAAGAATTTTTTGCACTAGGAACTGTTCGAATGAAAATTTGATCGCCAAATCTACGAATTGTTGACGTGAAGTGTAGATTTCGAGAATCACAAATAGTTTAAACAAAAAGTAGATCTCAAAACCTATAAGCGATATCGAACAAAAAGTAGATTTTCAACTGTATTGTAAATGGTTTTAAACAAAAAGTAACTTTCCAATTCTACGAGTTGTCGAAGCGAAAAGTAGACTTTCATGTCGTATCGTCCATTTGTTTAATTTAAAAACGCGATGACCTGTATGAAATGTTTGAAGTGTGTCGTTCCGCACGAGGTAGGCAAAAGAAACTAGGAACACGTAAGGAACAAAAGAAACGAATCAAGCAAATGGAAACAATGGCCGTCATTAAAACACTAGTGACACTAGATCATGTGACCTGTGAAGCATTGCTTCAACGCGATCAAATACGGAGGGAAAAAGAAGATTTACCCTCGTTCGCGAAAAGATTTCATTCTCAAATCTAGTTCAGTTAATGCGTTCCTACGTGAAAATCGTTATTCAAGTTGCATATGTTGGACAAATTATGGCATGTTAAAGGTAACAAATATTTGAATAAATATAATCAAATACAAAATATATAATCAAATACATGAATAAATTGCCAGTAAATGAACTGATAATTATCAAATACCGAAGCTAGTAAATAATAAGTTAATAATTTAATAAGTTAACAACTTTTAATAAGAATTAGATGAAGATTGTTAACTAATGAGTAAACAAATTGTTGAACAATAAATAGATAAATTGTGAAATAATTATCAGACAAATTGTTAAACAATAATCAGACGAATTGTTAAATAATAGCTGGATAAATTGTTAAATGATCAACAGATAAATTGCTAAACAATAACAAGACAAATAGCTAAATAATAAATGGACAGATTCTTGACCAGGAAATAAACAAATTCCTCAGTAGGAAATCAACAAATTATTCG